ACCAGTATAAACCAGTTAGAACCAGTTAGAAACCAGTACGGACCGGTATAAACCAGTATGGACCAGTATAACCCCACAGAAACCAGTACAAACCCAGAAAACCAGTACAAACCAGTACAAACCAGTAACCTACCGCTGCCACCGTGCGCACCTGGGACCAGTATACACCAGTATAAACCAGTATAAACCAGTACGGACCAGTACAAACCAGTATAACCCCATAGAAACCAGTACAAACCCAGAAAACCAGTACAAACCAGTATAGCCCCATAAACACCACTATAAACCAGTGCTCCCAGTCTGTCCCAGTATAAACCAGTAACCCTAAATCCCCTCCCAGTCCCTCCCAGTTCCTCCCAGCCCCTCCCAGTATAAACCAGTACAAACCAGTACAAACCAGTCCATCCCAGTCCCTCCCAGTATAAACCAGTACAAACCAGTACAAACCAGTCCATCCCAGTCCCTCCCAGTTCCCTCCCAGTCCAAACCAGTCCATCCCAGTCCCTCCCAGTTCCCTCCCAGTCCAAACCAGTCCATCCCAGTTCCCTCCCAGTCCATCCCAGTTCCCTCCCAGTCCATCCCAGTTCCCTCCCAGTCCATCCCAGTCCCTCCCAGTATAAACCAGTCCCTCCCAGTTCCCTCCCAGTCCCTCCCAGTCCCTCCCAGTTCCCTCCCAGTCCAAACCAGTCCATCCCAGTTCCCTCCCAGTCCCTCCCAGTAACTCCCAGTCCCCCCAATCCCCTCCCATTCCCTCCCAGTTCCCTCCCAGTCCCTCCCAGTCCCCCCCAGTCCCTCCCAGTATAAACCAGTCCAAACCAGTCCCTCCCAGTCTCACCAGGCTGATGTTGGAGTCCAGCCCCATCTGGAGATGTCTCCAGTCGAACTCCACTCCCCGCGCCCCGACCCAGAGCGGGACACACCTGGGCAGGTGAGGGGAGGGCTCAGACTCCCGAAATTCCCAAAATTCCATCCCAAAATTCCCAAAATTCCCAAAAAACCCAAATTCCCAAAATATTCACCCCCAAATTCCCCAAAATTTAACCCAAAGTCACCCCAAAAAAGCCAAAAATTCACCCCAAAATCCCTCCCCAGACACACCTGGGCAGGTGAGGGGAGGGCTCAGACTCCCGAAATTCCCAAAAATTCCCAAAATTCCATCCCGAAATTCCCGAAATTCCCAAAAAACCCAAATTCCCAAAATATTCACCCCCAAAATCCCCAAAATTTAACCCAAATTCACCCCAAAAATGCCAAAAATTCACCCCAAAATCCCCCCCCGGACACACCTGGGCAGGTGAGGGGAGGGCTCAGACTCCCAAAATTCCCAAAATTCCATCCCAAAATTCCCCAATTTCTCCCCAAAATTCCCCAATTTCTCCCCAAAATTCCCCAAAATTCCCAAATTTCCCCCCAAAATCCCCCCTAAAATTCACCAAAATTCCCCAAAACCCCCCAAAAACTCCC